ACATCTATCCTCCTAAACTCAACAACAACAAAAACCCCACTTTCTTAAAAGACACCCAAACACACTAAGTGCAAGAAAGGTCCTGAATTCAATTCCCAGCACCAACAGAGTAACCAACAAAAGACTACCAGTAAAGAAAGGATGAAAGGGAACTTTCTCATTTGATTTTAAGGCATTGAGATAGACACCGTTTATATCAGAACCCAAAGACCAAATAGTATTAGAGACCAACTCAGTTTCCCACTGTTGAAGTAATAAGCAGCAGATTTGGGATTTAACCTCATCTATCTGGTGCAGGAGCCATTGTTTGTACTATAACACTTTGCCTCCAAGGTTGAAAAAGAAGTCAAAATTTGAGTTCACAGTAACAGTTCAGAGAAATGTATGAGTAACTTAGTAGAAAATGGGCAATTGTATCAATTATCTCTTCAGAGATCTTAATCTTTGCTAAGGTTAAATCTTAGACTGCTAAAGTTTACCTTAATGAAGAAAACTAAGTATATATGATGAGCTAAAATTTTTGCCCATTTTATAAACTGAAAAGGTACAAATTCCTACTGCAAAAATGAGATTAATTTCTTTAAAAGTACTAAGTATATGATGAGCTAAAATTTTTGCCCATTTTATAAACTGAAAAGGTACTAATTCCCACTGCAAAAATGAGATTAATTTCTTTAAAAGTATGCTGACTGAAATTTTTATTCTGAGGACATAATCAGACATTGTCACAGATCTTAAGTGTGAGAAGTTTTACTTCACTGTTTGTAATAGCAAAAGGGACAGAAGCGATGTAAATGTTCAATCAAAATGCTGTTAAATTTCTCTTTGTTATAGAATACAATGCAATTTGGGGGACTTGTGCTTCTGATACATCGAATCTATGAAAGGTATCAATATTTATATATATGGAAAAACAGTCAGAAAGTATTATATGGAAAGCATCTACCAATTTTGTGGATGGTTCTATTGTTCTTCACATCTTTCTACATTTCCTTAGTTTTTTTTTTTTATCAATTACTTACTCTGAAAATAAGATGAACAAAAAGAATTTAGTGCAGTGGAGGACAGTGTTTTAAGGAAGTTACTGCACGTCTTGAAAGATACAGGGCTTAGTAGCTTCTTCGAGGTTTAGATCACGTATCCCCTTTTATGAAACCGCAATCACGAATAATCTGTGAGAAGATTATACGCAACACTGTTCAATTTAGCTCTGTAGGTTTCCAAACCCACGTAAGGGAGTCCTTAATGTGTTCTCACTGTGCTTTCTTTCTTTCTATTTCGTAGCTGTGACACCATTTGAAATGAGCAATCAGACATATGTCACCGAATTCATCTTCCTGGGATTTTCAAATCACTCCAGCTTGCAGGGCATCTTTTTCCTGGTCTTCCTGGTCATTTACCTGACGACTCTCCTGGGCAATGTGCTCATAATAATGGCCACCAGAGTCAGCCCAGCTCTCCACACACCAATGTATTATTTCCTCAGCAACCTGAGCTTCTTGGACATCTGCTACACATCTACCACCATCCCAGTCATGCTGGTGAACTTCTTCCGGGAGAAGAAGACCATCTCCTATGAAGGCTGCCTTTCTCAGATCTTTTTCTTTGTGACATGTGCTGGGGTGGAATGTGTCTTGCTGGCCGCCATGGCTTATGATCGCTATGTGGCCATTTGCTGCCCTCTTCAATATCCAGTACTCATGAGTGTGAAGGTCTGTGTTTGCCTGGTCACTGGGTCCTGGCTATGTGGGCTGGTGAATTCTGTGACACACACAGGGCTGGCAGCCACACTCACTCTATGTGGGCCCAACGAGATCAGCCACTTTCTCTGTGACATCCCACTGCTCCTGAAGCTGTCCTGCTCAGACACTTCTGTCAATGAGTCTGTGCTCCATGTGGCCAGTGCCACCATTGGCCTGAGCCCCTGCCTGTTTACTGCCGGGTCCTACGTACTCATCATCTCGGCCATCCTTAGGATCCCTTCTGCTCAAGGCAGGAGCAAGGCCTTCTCCACCTGTGCCTCCCACCTGACTGTAGTGGTGGTCTTTTATGCAATGGCCAACATCAATTATGACAAGCCCAGTGAAGGGTACTCTTTGGACATGGACATTCTGGTCTCTGTTCTCTTCTGTGTGGTGACCCCCATGTTGAACCCCATCATCTACAGCCTGAGAAATAAGGAGGTCAAGGGTTCCCTGAAGAAACTCTTCAGAACTTTTAGCATTATCTAGTTTGATCAGCAGCTAGATAATGTTTTCCTTCCAGAAAGTTTCTTAAATGAAGCAAACTTAAATGTTCCAGTAAAAATTTCAACAGTCCTGCCTATGGATGTAGCTCCTCTTGAGAACTGTGGTGCTCCCATCCCAACTAGGGCGAGCAAATGAGCTTATGCTGATCCTTTGACACATTGTAATCTCATACATCATGAGTTCTCCATTCCACAGGTATGGTAGAGTATTTTCATCAATCTCCTCCCCAGAAACCCTATACCTCTCGTAGTAACTGGACATTTCGCTCCAATTTTCCAGCCCCAGGATAACAGTAGTGTATGTGAACTATTACATGAAGGGTGACTTTGATTATTTCCCTAATAACTCATCGTTCTAAGACCTTTAATGAGCACTATTTCTGTGTTTCTTCTTCACATATGAAAAACCTCATATCCACTTTCTATGTCTACAGGTATTTGTATTCTGTATGCTTAATATAGATGAAGGAATTTAATATGTGTCCTTTGGTTCTGAATTTTCCCACGTAGGACAATATTTTCAAGTTTCATACATTTTATGTAATGTATCACTACTTTATTCCTTATAATTGCTGAATAATTTCCATCTTGCAAATAAACAATGTTGATTTGTACATTTTCACTGAGGAGAGGCTTTGGTCATACTTTGAGACCATAATCTTAGGCGAAATAAATCAAACACATAAACTTAAACACATGGTTCGTATTACATGAGAAGCCCAAAGTATAAATAAAACACAAAATAAGAGATAGTAATAGAAAATAGCAAGATAAATCTTACTCAAATTTAAGGGTACTAAGATATGGGGAAAGAGAATGAAACAAAGCATTAAGGTGTGTTATGTATGTGTACCTACTCCACACAAAGAACATAAACATATTCAATAAAAATAAATAAGCATGTCCAACTGGCAGGGCAGGTAGCATGAAGAGTCCAAGCCTGAAGAGAAAACTCCCCGTGCTATGAGAAATATAACCAAATACATTACTAAACACATCCACACTTACTCCTCTCCCTCCAGGGACTGAGAAGCTTGTCTCAAGATTTCAGCCACCCACGAATTCTTAGCAAGAATCCTGCCCTGAACTTTACTCACAAATGTCCCCAAAACAGACAGAAAGCTGATCCTCTCATTTCATGCTGGGGAAAGAGGAATGCCATGACCTTAATGAATCCAAGAGAGAATTAACTGCTCCTATTTCTAGCTTCTTTTTGTTCAGGCTGTTGTCCTTGAGTTGTGTTTGCACAGCGAGAAGTCCCAGAACAGCTGCTCAGAGAGCGATGAGAAGGAGAATCCCCGAAGGCAGGTCCACGGGCCTTTATAAGTGTCCATCTTAGGAAAATGAATTGCAGAGCGATCAAAGAGGAATCTTGATTCCTGCACTGGACATCAGACATGCTCCAGGCTGCTCTGGGAGTGACAGTTCCTTTTGGGATGCGCGGAAGTTATCAGCCAGTTTGCCAAAGAGTATGCATTGCAGCCCGGGTGCTGGTGCGGAGAGCAGCAAGCTCCACTGCAAAGCAGACCCTTTTCAGTGAGAATTAGTGGTGAGTAGTTTATTTCTTCATCATCACAAAGGAAAAACTTCTTCCAACGTTACGATATGCCTGCTACTCCTCAAGAATGTTTTATGGAATATTATGCATATTTGCATCACCTTTTTGATGGTATCTTTTAGTGACATATTCTCAGGGTGTGTGTGAATTTCTGCAAAAGTTCTTACAGAATCAGAGTGGAAAGCACTTCAGAGATTATCTACTCCAGGACCTGAGGCATGCCTAAATTATCTCAGATAATGCGAGCAAGGCGTTTATTCAGAGTAAATAAGACATAACGATATGTGCTAACCTTCTGCTTTGCAGACAAGACCAAGAAGACCAGAGCAGAAAACAGCAAAGGGCCATATTTCCATGATTCACTCCAGCGTGACGGTCGCTGCTCAAAAGTAGTGGTTGAAATAAATAAAACAACTGAATTTAGGTGTAGAAACACACTCTGTCACCAGCGACAGGTTCTCATCTTTATGTTATAACACATAGAACCTTGGAGTGAGTGTTGCAAACAATGTGTTAAGTGTCATAAAGTCTGAAGCTTCTCAGTGATTTCCTTCACCCACAGTCCTTTTACTAAAAACAAGATCATACATTGGAGTTATTCATAAATAATCCAACTCTCAAAACTTTGCCTTTGAGATGATGGGAAGGAAGGAAGCGCAGTTGGTGGCCTCAGCTGGGAACAGTAAGAAGGTCACACAGTCTTCAGGGCCATCACTGCTCCTAGACAGGGAAGACACTAAGCCCCTGGCCACGGGGCCAAGATGTTCATTTAGATCCCCAGAGGCTTTTGCTCTTCTCACATCTTTAAGGTATTTGCACCAAAACCACTGACTAAAAATATTTTCAGACTACTCAAAGCTCCTTTTTCACCATTTGGGGCTCAAACAATGCTGTCTGTAGAAAGATCTTTTGTGACTCCTACTTCTATGGCTGTTCTTTGTGGCCTTTTTTCCATCATCGGGCATTCACTGAGTTTTCATTAACAGAGGGCTCCATGCTAGTTTTACCACAGGTTGAAAGGCCAAGACCGGGACCTCAAGAAGCAGGTGTTGGAGATGGAAGCAGGGGTTTTCATGTCCCGTTCCTAGAAGTGTTCAACAGAGGCCATCCAACCAAAAGTAAGCAAAGAGCTGTGCTAAGTGGCCTTTTTTCCATCATCGGGCATTCACTGAGTTTTCATTAACAGAGGGCTCCATGCTAGTTTTACCACAGGTTGAAAGGCCAAGACCGGGACCTCAAGAAGCAGGTGTTGGAGATGGAAGCAGGGGTTTTCATGTCCCGTTCCTAGAAGTGTTCAACAGAGGCCATCCAACCAAAAGTAAGCAAAGAGCTGTGCTAACACAATAAAATGGGAAAAGTACTTAAGTCACCTAAAAATTATGTAGGTCTGGTTCCAACCATATATGGAAATGAAAATCAAATTGAAAAATGCCTCCTGCTTTTATCTCTTCCTTAACTTATTTTTTAAAAATTAAAGTATATTTTATATTCAATAATATGCAGAAGTCTTGAGAGGACAAGTGGATAATTTTAAAATACATATACAAAATCAAGGTACAGACCATTTACATCACTCTAGAAAATAAGAAGATGTGGCTGAGATTCCTGCCTTGTAGTGCATTTTCTCTTTATATTATATTGTAAGCTCTTTGAGGCACAGAAATCAAGTCTTACTCTCCTTTGAGTTTTTTCCTAACGTGAGCATAGGGATACATCTACCCTTCCAGTGGGACTGAATTAGTTTGAATCCAAACTAGCCACCACCAGGACAAGATGGTTGGAAAATGTTGCCAGGAAATGAAAATGTCACAGTTTGAAGAAAGTTATAATTTTACTCATCGTAAGAGTTAGGAAGTAGCCTTCCCTTTCTATTTCACATCAGGAAAAACACAGGTGAGATATAGGGGCTGAAAGAAATCTTAAATGCTACAGTGGATTTGAATACAGGATGAAGGCCTTTTCTTGGTGAACTTGTGAAGGAAGGGCTTTTAACCTATGAATTATGGGTGAGTAGTCCTCTGTCTATTAGACAGGAACACCCTAGACTCCACTAAAGCCTGGTCCTCGGGACCAGCAGCATTGCAGTCACACACAGCCAGGGGTGTACAGGTTCATTGAAGTTTGAGAAGCACAGGTCTGCCCGGGACCTCTGACTCTTCTATCTGGGCCCAGGCAGTTACATGACAGGGCAGTGTAGGAGTACTAATCTGGAGCAGGTTAAAGTAGCTCAGGCTACATAGCAGAGCTCTGCGGCAGTAAAGTAACTTTCTCACGAGCACCTGAAACCATTTATATTTTCTTTTGATAAATTTATCTTATGTGTGTGTGTGTTATGTTAAGTAGATCAGCAATTTACTGGGCAACATGAAAATCATATTTAAAAGTGTAATCATTGTTTTGTGTTAATGAAATCAAATGTGAATTGATGTTTCCCTAATGTGCTGCAAGGGTTTTCACAATCACACCAGTTTCCATAATTTACTTTATGTCTGTTTAGTTTTCTTGAAGGAAAGAAACCCCTTCAGGCTAGAGAAAGAAACATTTCATTTATTGCCAAAGCCAAAAAACAAAATCTATGTAAAGACTGCTAGGCTTATTTATTTTTGAGTTGATTTATATTTAGTTTTAAAATTATTTATGTTTATCTTTGGGACCAAATTTCTATTGAAATTTAAATACTTTAAGCTCCTTCAGGCCTTAAGATTTGGAATTTTTAATGAAAGCTATGTTAGCCTATTAATCATGCATGAATTCTTAGAACAAATGATAAGAGAGCGCGGGGATCTTCAGTGACAAGAAGTATCACTGTGAAGAATAATTACCTGACAGACTTTGTGTCTCAATTTCTTTCTCTGCAAAATGGGGATAGCAGGTTGTCTGACAGGTTGTGTAAATCAAATGGGTTCATACGTGCATGTAAAAATCCTAGATGCAATACATGTAAAGCTTGGAACATTTGGGGCATTTAATAAGTGTTAGCTATTGTTATCTATTCAATACTGAATTTGCAAAATGCAGGTTGAAGTCAGAGAAGTGAAAACAGATGTTTTCAAAGCACCTCACACAGTTTGGTTGGCTAGGTTACACAAAACTCAATTTAGTCTTTAAAAAAAACTTACGTGTATTAAACTACATTAAAGAAGCAATTTTACACTGATTTTAGCCAAAATCCCAAAAAGCGATAAACGCAAGTACTTTTAAAGCCAGACATTCATGTGCATTGGACAACCCTAAGAAAACTCGCCTTCAAATTATTTTTTCTATAAAATACACCTCATATGATTTTGGAGAAAATGGTCATTGTTATACAACAGAGGGTATACTGGTGAGGTTGCCTGACTCCTATGCAGTAGCATGTAAAGTCTAAGAGGAAAATGTATATTGTGTCTGAAAAAGCCCTGCGTAAGTATTGATTGTTAATGATGAGTTTGATGAGGAGAACCATAATGATGAGAAATCAACTTAGTTATCCTATTCTGACAAAAGAAACTTGTGAGAAAGTCACGGATAAGAACAGTCGATTGGACATCTGGCCTCATCCCATGCCACTGGCCCACAATAAATTAGATTAGTCAGTCACACCAAGAATACACTTGTAGGTAGATACAGATATAGAGATAGTTTTTTAAGTGTCCTGTAAAGATGTTCTTTGGGAGCTTACTTCAACTAATATGCAGATTCCCAGCTTCAATCCCAAGTTGATTTATTGTAAATCCATGTTGATAAGTAAGGTGCTTATTACTTAGGAAAATTACTTCAAGAAGGCAATGCCTACTGCTAACATTGAAAGAGTGCTAAGAGTTTTCCAGTCCCCTCAGGGTGAATCTTCACTGTATTCCTTATAAACATTGAGGATCCTAAGAGCCTAATCTTAACCTTTTTCCACTCATTCTGCTTAATCTTCTTGATGGATATCAGTGTACCCATTGCTACATAAGTCACCTTTATGACAATGATTGCCAAATCCATAGCTGTGGTTTTATCTCTTCTCTGGAGGGCATTTCTATGTCGATATCCCTTAGCTACCGAACATTCAGCATTTCACTCAAATGTATCCTCCTGCAAATCCTACCACACTTGGCTTGTTTAGTTAGAGATCCCACTAGGCAGCCAGCCTGACCAAACTGATTCCGTGTCTTCCCTAAATCTTCCCCACTGATGGACTTGAAAGTAACCCAAACTTGTCTCCTCTGTGATTGCTACAGAGATTTTCTCCAAGCTCCAAAAGAGTACATCTTCCGTTACAGGCCATTACCTTTTTTATGTTGCTTAGCACTGAAATCTTGGACTAAGCAAAGCTGCTTGGCCTGAGGCATAGGAACTATAAGGGACTTTGGGCACAAGTTTCAGAACTATCTGACCTCTCCTGTCTGCATTGCAATTGCATGAAAGATTTCATGAATGGGTTTACGGCATTATCTCTATCTGTACGTCTTGCAGCTCCTCAAAACTGATGATTTTCCAGAAGCCAGGCAGTCTGTATCCCTCCAGATATCCCCTGTTTTCAGTCTGTCTCCACCTAAGTCAAGTGGTCCACTATTATTGATCCTCTGCAACCATTCCTGCCCTCTTTCACACCCAACTCTGGCTACAGGAAGATAGGTGAGCTCTCTGATGGCCCAAGAAGGAGGGAGAGTATTTTATGAACTTCCTAGTGCAGAAGCGCTCACATAGATTTGCTCTCAAAAAGACATTATCCGGAAAGGCAGGCTTGGCACAGATTCACATAGCCCAGTCCTGGGCCTCAGAGGCCGGTCCCTTGCCACATCCTCTGGGGTAGCTAATGAGGTTGTGCTTGAAGTGAAAATTCACCAATCTACTCAGGATTAGTCTTCTAGAGCTAGAATTGGTCCACTGTCTCTTTGCAACCAAGCAGGAATCTCCATGAACAGTAGATATACTTACTGAGATTAGCCAAAACTCAGATTCCTGCCATCTTCTCTCCTCTAGTAGTGATGCAGCTCTCACAGAAGTTCACCAGTGTCTAAGAGACTTCAGGGTCCTTTATTCTATAGTAATGAGGACCACACAAGTCCTTCGATCTTGCTTGGCCTCAGAGGGACAAATTCATGCTATTTTCTTTCTGATTGCCTAAAATGCCAACTTGCCATCTCATTACCTATGGAGCAGTGTTCTCTAACATGACCCCCTCCAATACACACACACACACACACACACACACACACTCACAGTGATACACATATATCCATTGTGAGGATAGCTCTGCATCTGTGGCCAAGATCTCATGTGCTCACCAATTACATTCAGTCTTCCTAGATAGCAGGTAGGAAATAGCTTGACATAATTTATAAGTGTGATAGGTATGGAACTCCAATTGTTGTAGAGATATGCAAAATATGGGAAAAGTACTTAAGTTTTAGTCACCTAAAAGTTATGTAGGTCTGGTTCCAACCATATATGGAAATAAAAATCAAATTGAAAAATGTCTCCTGCTTTTATCTCTTCCTTAACTTATTTTTTAAAAATTAAAGTATATTTTACATTCAATAATATGCAGAAGTCTTGAGAGGATAAGTGGATAATTTTAAAATACATATACAAAATCAAGGTACAGACCATTTACATCACTCTAGAAAATTTCACACATTTTCCCAATTAATGCCGCTTGTATGCCCTAGAAAAAAGCACTATTGTCACTTGAGCAACACAATTTATTTTTGCTTATTTTTGAATTTCAATTAAAAGAAACACATCACGTTTTATTTTATGTCTGGCTTTTTTCACCCAACAATTTTTTCAAATATTTCAAGTATTTAATATTTTAGGAATTTATGTTTTTAACTATAAGTGTATTATTCTACTAAGTGATATATCATTGTTTCTTAACTCTTCTTTTCATATCCGCAGTATTTCAGCTATTGTGAATTCGCTTACAAATTTGTGTGTGTGTGTGTGTGTGTGTGTGTGTTTTGTCAGCCTGGATTCACTTTGAGAATATTCTAGGAGTGGAATTGTTGTCATAGAATAACTGTATTAAATTTATTGCAAATTGCCAAATAATTTTCAATAATGAATGCATAGTCTTGAAATTTCAGCTTGAAGATTTGTAGAGTTAGAAAACATGTTGCTTCCATCCTTAAAATCAGCAAAAAAAGCAGAATATGAAAATTAGTGACTTTTCTTGAACTTAGAGGCAATTGAGATTTCACTGCAAACAATTAAACTGAAATCTTAGAAGATATAGGCAATGAAAAATATTCATATACTTTTTAAAAACATAAGCAGAAGACACTGGATGCCATATAAGCTGATAGACAGAATAATATTAAAATATAAAGGAATTAAGGAATTATTGCTAAAGTAATAATAATAGACTAAACACTTTCATTTAAGCAGAAAGATAAAAATTGTAAGAAAGGTTTTAAAATACTAGAAATAAAAATTCATTAACGGAAAAGAAAAATACCTTTAAAAGACTCACCAGTAAATCAAATAGACTGAAAAAGCATTGGTAAATATAAGGCAAGGACAATACACACTATCCAAATTAAAACAAAGGGCCTAAAAGAATTTTTAAAAAATAGTGTACAAGAAATGTGATACAGGATCAAACTGTCTTCTAGGATTCCAGGAGGAGAGAAATCAATACAGCAAAGCAATATTTGAACAAGTAACAGCTGAAGACTTTCCAAAAACTACAAGAGATCCTGAAGTACAGAGAACACTAAGCAGGATTAATAAAAAGCATATTATGTTCAAGTTGATATAAATTTAAAACATGAAAATGTTGAACACAAATGAAGAAAAAACATAACTGACAGAGTACCACAAATAAGAAACACGACACATTTCCTGTCAGAACTTATGAAAGCAAGAAGACATTGGTGTGGCTTCTTTAAGGTGCTGAATAACAACAGAAAAATCTGTTGTGGGCCGAGATAAAATCTAAAGGGAAATTTAAAAATATTCTGAGTTGAATCAAAATAAGAAAAAAGATATCAAAAGTTATAGACCACAGCTGAAGCAGGATTAATAAAATATTTAGAGCTTTCTGTGATTAGCAAAGTGTATATCTAAAGCCAGTAACCTATATTTCTATCTCAAGGATGAGAAATGAGTCTGTTAAATCCAAAGAAAGCAAAAGAAAAGGAATAATAAACACTAGAGGAGGAATCAATGAAATTGAAAAAATAGTGAACAATCAATGAAAATTATTGGGTTCTTTCCAAAGAGCAATAAGATTAATAAACATCTAGCCAGGTTGACTGAGAACAAAGGGTAAATGACAAATGATAAAATATCAGGAATGAAAGCAGAGGTGTGAACACTGACACATCTATCCTCCTAAACTCAACAACAACAAAAACCCCACTTTCTTAAAAGACACCCAAACACACTGAAGAGCAAGGAAGGCCCTGAATTCAATTCCCAGCACCAACAAAGTAACCAACGAAAGACTACCAGTAAAGAAAGGATGAAAGGGAACTTTCTCATTTGATTTTAAGGCATTGAGATAGACACCGTTTATATCAGAACCCAAAGACCAAACAGTATTAGAGACCAACTCAGTTTCCCACTGTTGAAGTAATAAGCAGCAGATTTGGGATTTAACCTCATCTATCTGGTGCAGGAGCCATTGTTTGTACTATAACACTTTGCCTCCAAGGTTGAAAAAGAAGTCAAAATTTGAGTTCACAGTAACAGTTCAGAGAAATGTATGAGTAACTTAGTAGAAAATGGGCAATTGTATCAATTATCTCTTCAGAGATCTTAATCTTTGCTAAGGTTAAATCTTAGACTGCTAAAGTTTACCTTAATGAAGAAAACTAAGTATATATGATGAGCTAAAATTTTTGCCCATTTTATAAACTGAAAAGGTACAAATTCCTACTGCAAAAACGAGATTAATTTCTTTAAAAGTATGCTGACTGAAATTTTTATTCTGAGGACATAATCAGACTTTGTCACAGATCTTAAGTGTGAGAAGTTTTACTTCACTGTTTGTAATAGCAAAAGGGACAGAAGCGATGTAAATGTTCACTCAAAATGCTGTTAAATTTCCCTTTGTTATAGAATACAATGCAATTTGGGGGACTTGTGCTTCTGATTCATCGAATCTATGAAAGGTATCAATATTTATATATATGGAAAAACAGTCAGAAAGTATTATACGGAAAGTTTCTACCAATTTTGTGGATGGTTCTATTGTTCTTCACATCTTTCTACATTTCCTTAGTTTTTTTTTTTTATCAATTACTTACTCTGAAAATAAGATGAACAAAAAGAATTTAGTGCAGTGGAGGACAGTGTTTTAAGGAAGTTACTGCACGTCTTGAAAGATACAGGGCTTAGTAGCTTCTTCGAGGTTTAGATCACGTATCCCCTTTTATGAAACCGCAATCACGAATAATCTGTGAGAAGATTATACGCAACACTGTTCAATTTAGCTCTGTAGGTTTCCAAACCCACGTAAGGGAGTCCTTAATGTGTTCTCACTGTGCTTTCTTTCTTTCTATTTCGTAGCTGTGACACCATTTGAAATGAGCAATCAGACATATGTCACCGAATTCATCTTCCTGGGATTTTCAAATCACTCCAACTTGCAGGGCGTCTTCTTCCTGGTTTTCCTGGTCATTTACCTGACGACTCTCCTGGGCAATGTGCTCATAATAATGGCCACAAGAGTCAGCCCAGCTCTCCACACACCAATGTATTATTTCCTCAGCAACCTGAGCTTCTTGGACATCTGCTACACATCTACCACCATCCCAGTCATGCTGGTGAACTTCTTCCGGGAGAAGAAGACCATCTCCTATGAAGGCTGCCTTTCTCAGATCTTTTTCTTTGTGACATGTGCTGGGGTGGAATGTGTCTTGCTGGCCGCCATGGCTTATGATCGCTATGTGGCCATTTGCTGCCCTCTTCAATATCCAGTACTCATGAGTGTGAAGGTCTGTGTTTGCCTGGTCACTGGGTCCTGGCTATGTGGGCTGGTGAATTCTGTGACACACACAGGGCTGGCAGCCACACTCACTCTATGTGGGCCCAACGAGATCAGCCACTTTCTCTGTGACATCCCACTGCTCCTGAAGCTGTCCTGCTCAGACACTTCTGTCAATGAGTCTGTGCTCCATGTGGCCAGTGCCACCATTGGCCTGAGCCCCTGCCTGTTTACTGCCGGGTCCTACGTACTCATCATCTCGGCCATCCTTAGGATCCCTTCTGCTCAAGGCAGGAGCAAGGCCTTCTCCACCTGTGCCTCCCACCTGACCGTGGTGGTGATCTACTTTGGAACAGCCAACTTCAATTATGTCAGGCCCAGTGAAGGGTATTCTCTGGACATGGACATCCTGGTCTCTGTTCTCTTCTGTGTGGTGACCCCCATGTTGAACCCCATCATCTACAGCCTGCGAAATAAGGAGGTCAAGGGTGCCTTAAGGAAGTTGGGTAGAGTGTTTGTATTCCCTGACAATATCAGTGTCTAGAGCAGTAGTCAACTGGAGTATATACCCACCTGAGAAACTCTCCAAGAATATTTCAATACAGTTAGTTTAACAGCGCATTTCTCTTTCTGGATCGTCTTTTGCTATGTACTAGTTCCTCTAACTGATCCTTCCAGGAACTCTTCACTCTTCCTTTTTAACATTGCCCTTTTCCCATGTTGTATAGTATGGGATCAGATTTTGTGTTGGTTTTAGCACCATCTCTATCCTTCTACATTTTCCCCACATTACAGGGGCATTCTTATATCTCAGACCTCCTTGCCCGTAGAGTTCTGTTTTAGACTTTGCCAATAAGAGTCATATGTAACATATTAGAAGAAACTTGGAATCATGACAAATCTGTTTTTCAGTTCGAGAAGAAAGAAAAAGAAGAAAATTTCTCCTGGGTCTCATAGCAGCAACAACAGACTAGAGCTGCAGTGAGAGAAGTAGACTCCTGGGGTGACAGCAGTTGATGCATCCAGTCTCATATAGTAGCTATTCCTGATCCAGACTTAATGTCACAGAAGTATTACCTGGGTATTTATGGGGAGACTGGAGGTTTCCATGTAGAAAATAGTGTTAATCTTTTTTTTTTCTCTTTCCTATTCTAGCCTTCCCAACAACTTCGTAATTTATTTCTGGCATTGAATTCCTCTATGTCAAAATACACAGCTCTTTAAAATTTCTGCTATGAATGCTAACACATCATTTTCCATCCAGTTGTGCTAGGAAAGAGATCCTCAAAAGTGGGTTTGGCTATCTGATGCAATGCGTTTGAATGTGTTAATAACATTATGTTCAATGGAAAACAGGAAATCTGGTAGTTCAGGGTGCACAATTACTAAACAAATGCTTAAAATTATCAACAGTCAATGGACAAAATAAAATGCCCATTGACACTCAAGCTTTGGAACACCTTAAACCTTCATAGTGGGAATGAGCATCAATGCATAGTTAAAAGAGGACTATTACTGACTGCAGTTGAAAGGTTATAGGAAGAAAGTGAAGTTAGCCATCAAATTCCTCACTCAAGTCAAGGGCAAATAACGAGAAAATATTTTGTTTCTTGAAATTGAAAAAGGTGACTATCAAAACAAAAAAATCCAATTCTCTGAATTGTAGAATCACAAAGTAAATTATAAAACCACAATTTCTCCAGGTCTCTTATGTGTCAATTAGGGCATTACCTGGGGAATGAGTGGAAACTTGTTAATTAGAATGAAGAAAAAAATCAGTGGATTTGAACAAATCTTAGAACCTTAAATCCTCAAATCTCCATTAACTTTTCTCACCATAAAAGCAGCCCCACCTCTCCTAACTGAGACCAGCTTTCCTTAAATTAGACTCCACGATGACCTCACCTGAGGCAATATTCTTATAAATAAAGCTAATCCTCTTAAGATCCACATCTACCATTCCTCATTACTGCCAGACTCTAAATTGTGGTCCAGTTCCAGAATACCATAATAGTATAGCCCACAAGATTATAACATTTAAACCAAAATAAAGTTTCAATATTTTACTAATACTTACTGAAAGAATCCTTGAGAATATGTATAATAATGGACTCTTAGGATGCTAGACCAAAGAGGACAAGACATATTGCTAAATCATCTTGAATATATTCTTATGGATGTACTTTTCAGAAATGGTAGTGCAAGGTGTTATACTGAAAAGTGTGGAGCATCTCTAATGGTTTTGTTGTTGTTTGCTTTTGTTTGTTTTGAATAGTTGGTTGAAACCTAGATTCAAGGTACAAAAAGTTCAATAAAGATGAGATGTCTGGTGTATCTCTGGAATAATATAGAGGAGAAAATCAAAAGGTCTAGGGAGGCCAAGCATGGTGGCCAACGCTTGTAATCCCAACACTTGGAGCCTGAGGCAGGAGGGTCTCTGTGAGTTCGAGAACAGCCTGGGCTACATAGTGAGTTCCAGATCAGTCTCAACTATATAGTGAGACCCTGTCTCAAATAACAACAAAAAAAAGGTCTAGGGAAATAAGCATGTTAGAATGAATACATTTTATGTGATCCTCTTACACTAGTCCCCAAATATAAGTACTCAAAGAGAGATCAGAACACAATCCCTGTAGAAAAGCTTTTTGCCTTTGATAAAAGAAGCACACCATCCCTGTGATGTGCATAGTAACTATCCTCTGAAGCCTAGAAATGGCTCTAGGAAGTGTAATCATGGAAATGGGCTCTGTGATTTCAGTCAGTAGTGATATTCTAAAGTAATACAGGTCATTTGGTTGAGCAGTAACCAGAATATGTAAGGTATAGAAGTCTTTGACAGTGGTTAAAAGATTATGGTGCCTGTAGACCTGAAATAATGGGCATCTTATTATTAACTTATACATATGAATATATATTCATACATAATTTCATATTATATATATTTTATATATATAATTTTTTTACTTTATTTTATCATGGTGCTAGGGATCAAACCCAGGACCTTAAAGGTGCTAGGAACAGGCTATACCATTGGGCTATATCCCCCAACTCCTGAAATATTCTAAAGTTTGATCACTATAATCACTACTTAAATCATTGCAAGGGAGAGCCACCTTCATTCAGCTCTTAAACCTTCTGAACTCATCAACCCTCTGAGGTTTGAAGGCTGTGTGACACCTAGCATGGCATTAAAGACCCTCTAAGTCCTCAGTGGAATTATAGCGCTAATCTACTAGAATTTAGGGCAAAGCCATGTCTTCTTCAAATAACTACTCTCCTTTGAGAAATAAATACTGACTGCTATTAGACCTCAAAAGATACTGAATATTGGCTCTGAGGATACAAAGTGGTATTATGAGTTGAACTGTCCATGTGAATTATGTGTTCTCTAACCCACCAAACCACAGATGTGGGTGGGTGGAGCAGTGTGTCATCATCAAGCAGAAGTGATGACAGGATCAGGCTCAAAACCATCCTGAAGGCATAAATTAACCACATGACTCTGCTCCCATCCCGTGACACAAATCGATGGCCTTCTGGGCAGCTTTCAAAGGCCAGTTTACTAAAAATAATAAAACTGGAAGCTGATTAACAAGTTGGTTCACAGAATACTCTGACACCACCTAGCATAGATTTGATACAACATTTCAGTTCTGCCCTGGGGTGGGCGGCCTTGAAGGCCAGTGGGTAAATGTGATCCTTCCAGTGAGCAAGCTTTGAGCAATCAATCTAGCTGTTCCTTCTGTCCAGAAAGAGAGATTACCAGAAATATGGATCAAAGCCAGTTCATGAGTGGATAATGATGTGGACTGATGGCAGTGAGGACAGGAAATGGCAATGGAATGTTTTAACAAATAGGATCTAACAATGGAAGAAGAGTTACGTGAATTAACCTCTCAGAATGGGGCAGCCTATGAAGCCAGATTATCCCATGGAGGTATTCATAAAATGACCCTTGTTATAGAGAATCCCTCAAGACTTGTTTGATGACCACAAGTGCTAAATTTGCCAGCAGTAGAAACCAACTTAGAATCCTTGATAATGGCACTATTATCAACCAGGGGAATATTGATTATATTAGACCACTTCAATCATAGGAAGGGCAGATGGATTTCAACTTGTCAAAGATTAAAACTAGACCCATATCTTTCGCCATGCACTAAACTAAAATCCAAGTGGAATAAAGATATAAATATTAAAACAAAAACACTAAACTTGTGGAAGATAAGTTAGGTAGAACTCCTGAAGTTTTTGGCATAGGAAAAGACTTTATGAACAAACCCTCAGTAGCATGGGAACTAGCACAAAGAATCAACAGTTGGGGTCTCAACTTTTTAAATAGCTTCTGCACTGCCAGAGAAATCACCAGCAGAGCTAAGAGACAACCCACAATGTAGGAAAAAATTTTACCAGCTGCTCTTCAGACATAGGTCTACTATCTAGACTATATAAAGAACTAAAAATAATCAGACCCCCCCAATTCAAAAATGGTCATCTGAAATGAACAGACATTTCTCAGATAAAGAAGTAAAAGCAGCAAATAAACATATGAAAAAATGTTCAGCATTACTGGTCATTTGAGAGATGCAGATGAAAACAACACTGAGATTCCGTCTCAACCCACAAAGAATGGCTGCTGTCAAGAACTCAACCAATAACAAATGCTGGCAGGGTTGTGGGGAGATAGGAACCCTTCCCTATTGTTGGTGGGAGTGCAGAGTGGTGCAACCATTGTGGAAATCAATATGGAGATACCTCAGAAAACTAGGATTAGAGGCTCCATTTGACCCAGCTATTCCTCTGCTGGGTATTATCCCAAAAGAATTAAAAGAATCATACCACAGTGATATGTGCTCACTCATGTTTATAGCGGCACATTTGAATGGTAATATCTAGTTTTCCTCCCAACGCCTTATGTTATCATATGTGAAGTCTTTGGGAAGTGATGTGACCATGGAAGCATCATCCCCACCCGTGAATCAGGCCACTGATGATTTTATAGCTACAAATGGTGTTGGGCAGAAGAGGTGGGTCGCTGGGGGAGTGGCTTGGAAGAGCATATTTCCCTCCCTTGAGCTCCCTCTGCTTCCTGACTACCATGCCATGAGTAACTATCCTCTGCCAGGCCCCTCTGCCCTGCCATCCTGCCTTGGGGCCAGCCAGCTATGGACTGAAACCTGTAAACCATGAGCCAAAGTTAACCTCTCCTCCCTTAAGTGTCGTGGATCAAGCCTGAACAGTCCTTCACCTCTTCCTTACTCCCTTTCTCCTCCATAGACTAGATGGCACTCTGGATGGCACCGTCCCAGGGGACAGTCACACCATGTACCCTTCCCTGCTCCCTTCCTGAGCATGCCCTGATCATGAAACAAACACGCTATGTTCAGCTGAGGCCGAGTAGGCCTTGTAGCACTAGCTGCCCACCTTCTCTTCCTGTTTGTCTTACAGTGTAAGTAAAGAGCACGCTGGACTCCAGGCAGCCATTGGCTTCCTACAAGCTACTCTTCCACCTGGTTCCAACTTTCAAGAATAGTCTTTGTTTCT